CTTCACCCCCGTCACCCCTTTCTTCTCTTTCCTGGAGGACTTTGGACCGTGGAGATTCTGCAGTTGTTGCTCTGGGAGCTGAAACCAGTGGGTAGATGTGGTTCTGAAATGCAGGTGAGTTTGGGGCGTGAGGAGTTACCTTCCCATCTCAGGCTGCGGGGCGTGCAAAACTCAAAACTCAGGACCCCGGTCCCCCGGGTTCCACGCGCGGTTCGTGTCTCCGGCTCTCAGAGAACCACTGCGTGGACTTTGCTCCAGGGTCAGCAGAGCGGGAGGGCGAATTCACGGCTCTTGGAAGACGATGCTAACGGGCCTAGCTCCTGAGCCATTTCCAGAGCTCCCTGCCGTGAGACGAGAGTGGCCCGGGTTTGCGCAGGCAACCTTTGGCCAGGAATCTGATTCCTGGGAGAATCCACTTCAGGCTTAACTGCTCTAACCAGCTAGAAAGGGAGCGCTAGATTTCCTCTTGATTTTGGACGTTGGCTGCTTTAGTTGAGATTTTCACCCTTTAAAGAAGGCTTTAAAATGTCTTCTGTTACTTCTTTTTAACAAAGCCTTTGTTTACTAGAATTATCTAAACTATATGGACACCGCCCTCACCCCACAATCGACATATTTTTTTTTCTCTCTCTTTTCCCAGCACCCTTTTAGCTCTCACCACTGCTGTTTCCCAAGTTGTCACAGCTGAAGCGCACTGATTTGAAGTTGCTTTGTACGGACTGAGTTCTGCCCTGGCTGAGCCATCTAATAATGTCTCTGAGCTTGGCACCCTGTATCTCTAAGCCAGTGTTAAGATGGGCGAGGAATGAGAAGCTGCCGATTTGCCTTTAGTTGTGATGTTTGTGTGAGTCGGCTTGTTTGTTTCAGACTCAGATAACTGCACTTGCCTTTGCTTTCTTTGGAAGGGCGCCTACATAGCTAAGGCGTCGCTTGGTGAACAATTCCCATTTTAAGAATTGGTGGAGTTAACAAATATTTATTACTTATTGATCTATTGTTATATGCTAGACCCTGGGCTTGACATTTCCTTCCTTCCTTCCTTCCTTCCTTCCTTCCTTCCATCCATCCATCGTAAGACAACCCATATTGCCTGTTATGGAACAGCTGCCTTCAGGAGGGAAAGATGAGTGAGACCTATCCTCACCCTCACAGAGATGCAGTCTGGTGGTCTCTGGAAGAAGGAAATTGTGAAACTTACCGACTCCTTGGGAAAACAGGACAGGGACACAGGGACTGGCCTGTGCAATGGGTGGGGTGGTCTCTCAGAGCTGTGCCAGTTCATAGGAGGAACTGAAATCTAGTTGGGAGTGAACAGAAACTCCCAACTTCTCTGTGTGACAGAGAAGATGGGATCTGCTCTGCATCTTGGAAATTGCCAAAGATTAGTAATGGTAAAGTGAAGACTGGTCTTGCAGAGGGAGGGGGAAGGATGGTATTAGCAGAGGCTTCAAGTTGAGTATAAACATGGTGTGTTTGGGTGTTGAGCATGGTTTGCCTGGGATAGAGAATTGTTACTGGGGTTTGGGGGTGATACATTTGGATACCCAGGCCTGGATCAAATTATGGAAGGCACCGAACAGCAGTCTAAAGAGTCTGGATTTTGTTTGACAATGGGGAGCTACTGAAGGGCTTTCTGTACCATAAAGATAAGTTAAAAGTGTGACTTAGAAAGATTGGAGTACAGAGCCTGGTTAGAAAAGTAGTGCTGCAATATTCATGGTGTGAAGAGATGAAAGCCTGAACTATGGTGGTGCTATGCAGGTAGAGAAGAGGAGACAGATGTGAGACTCTGTGAAGAGAGCACCTGATTGGTGGGTTAGACTAGATTTAGGGGTGGGGAGAGAGAATGCGAGCGCTCTGAGGCATGAATAATTAGATGCTGGAACATTTTCCCTTTCCCTTCTGCTTCCCTATTTTCCCTCTATTTATTATCTATTTTGGTGTTTATTCCCATGTTGTGCATGCAAGGAAGGTGTGGGCAGCCGCTGATGTGGCCTCAAAAGTCTGTGCCTCCTGGTGTTCATGCCCTTATGTAATCCTCTTTTCTTTAGTGTGGGCTAGACTTAGTCACTTGCTTATAACAAATAGAATATAGCAAAAGTGGTGGGATGTCATTTCTGAGGTTAGGGTACAGAATGGCTGTCACTTCTGTTACTCTCACTCTCTCTTGCACGCCCTGGCTTGCTCTAAGGGAAGCCCACTTCCATGTTGTAAGCTCCCCTGTGGAGAGGCCTGTGTGGCAGGTAACTAAGGGAGGCCTCTGGTCATTAGCCAGTGGGGAACTGAGGCCCTCAGTACAACAGCCGGTGAGGAGCTTAATCCTGCTATTAGCCATGTGAGTGGGCCACTTGCTGAGAGTCAGTGACTTGAGTTTCCGGAATGCTGTCTCCTCTTCTGGGAGCCACTATAAACCACTCAAAAACATCAAAGGTGGCTTGTCATCAGAAGTCAGGGCACCTCAGTTATAGTGAAGCAAATCAATAGTTCCATATTTTAACATGAGCTTACTTTCCCAGCGGAGTCTCTCAAATGGAGGTTACTACACAGAACCTTGAAGAGGGTCTGACAGCCCAAATATTATTTCCTTCTATTTGGGATGATTTTACTCTACAGCATAGTAAATTGTGGGCTAGGATCTAAAAGTGATTTAGCATCTCTACAAAAGAAGACTTTATATGCATTGCCACGTTTAATTGGTAACAGAATACATCTACATTGTTATAGTTAGTTATGGAGTATAATTGTGGAGTTGCTTTACTCTAAGCCTTCCCCAGTCTCTCCATTGACTATAGATATAATAATACTGACTTGTTGAAACTATAACCCACCTATGACTGTGTTGGATAACATGACTGTCAATCAAATTGCATAACTGAGAGGCAGAGAATAAAGAAAGCATTGCTTATCAAACTACTAGACATTTACACTTGACTTTGGATGAAAATTGAGGTCAATTGGAAGTAATGTTCAGGTTTACATGCTGTATATGTATTATATACATGTCAATACTCATATATCAACTATATATGGTGGTTAATTTTTTACAGAATTGAATTCCTTTTGGTAGTAAATAATTACAAATACTGTTAGAGGCAACAAGAATTTAATACATCCTTAATAAGGATAAAGTGACCTGTAAAACAGTAATTTAAAGCATATTAGTATAATGTCTATGTGATAAAACTATCTAGCAAAGGCAAAACACCCTCTTCCCCTCATGATTAATGTTTAGGGAGATAAAAGGGATGTAAATATTTTTATTGTTTTATTATCTTTCTTAGGAAAATGACAGTGTGGTTGGTTTAATTAAAAAGGAGAGTCTCCCGTAGACGAAATAAAGAAATCTGTTCTATGGAGATGACAATGGAAAATACCTATTTAATTTGAATAACACCTGGTTCTGTAGAAATGTGCATCTAATATGTATCCTGCATTCACTTAGTCTGATTCATGTGCTGTTTCACCACATTATTGAAAAGAAGAGAAGAGGGAATATTAGCTCTCTCATTTGAGGATATTAAACTCCTGCTGGGGTTGAGGCACCGTGTGAGCACCCTACTTCCTACCTAGTGTGTTGGGAGTTACCTGGAGGCAATGAGGAGAAAATGACATGTTCCATTAGAATGAGGCATCCCCGGAATTGTTTGATGTTCTTTGCCTTAATTGAATCCATCTATCCCATCTGCCACTCTTCTCTCTAAATTTATTTCCCTAACCCACTGTCCCTGAGAATTATAGTTTGGGGGAAATTTGTTACCTACGTTGTTACCTTTTATGAAAGCTCTCGGCATCTGGAGGGCAGGTGTGCCTTCTACTCTGCCTTGCTAGGCAACTTTACCTGCCTCTTTCCTGCCCCTTGCAGGCTGCTGGATTAAAAACAGGACTGGATAAAAGGCCCCCAGTAGCAACAGAAGTGGGAACGAAAGTAGAAATTCCAGGCTTTTACTTATTGGTTTCAATACAGATCCCTAGCCATGTGCCAGGCCTGGCTAACCATGGACTCTATTAATAAATATAACTACACAAACATTTGCATTCTGACTGGGGCAGAACAGCCAGCACGGGAGTGTGTTATCTCGAGGGAAAGCTGGTCTTAAAACTCTTGACTGATTCGCCTGTGACTTTGGTCAGTCGGTGCTCCCTGGAACTGCTCTGGTGCTGAAGGTTGAGGTTATCTCTGTTCCCCAGAATGTGGCAGATCCAGCCCCATTCCTGACCACTATCCTTTTGCAAGGGTGAGACAGGGGAGATGATAACTTCTCTTTAGGATTCTTGTAGAAATCACTTTTGGCCCTTAACCTACATATAAAGTTAACATTAATGCACACATATTATTTTGAGCAAAGCCCATCCATATTTTCAAACCTACCATTTGCTATGGTGTGGGAGGCAGTACAGGGTGGAGGCCAGAGCATAGGCTT